CACGACGCGCATCGTATCAATCTTTATTCATAGCTCCCGCAAAATCGCTTCCAACTTTCCTAATAAATTTAACCAAGATGCGTTTTCAGCATCCGGATAACGTTTGCTCGATTCGATATTAAATGAGAAATTTTATTTTCGACGAACGAATTTATCTGCAACGTAATGTCTCGGTAGGACACGACATTAATCCTACGATACGATTCGCAATTTTTAGGTGCTGACTATCTTGCGTATATCGTGATGCTTTACAAATGCGCAGTATCAATCCTTTCCGTTCGTGTAACTTCCGTTCAAAATTTCTGACAGATTTGATAAATGCGTTCCATTAATAAGCGTCCAAACAATATCTGTTCATTCGATGAATGGGCTTATTGTTTCCCGCCATGTATCGCGTAATACCTCCCGGAAGCTCGGTTCCTAGGATTAACCTAAAATCATATCGGCAGCTCTCGCAATCACCGGCTTTCATTATCTGTTACAGATGCTGCGAGCGCACGACCTCATCGCCCCTGCTGTCAGTCATCGCACCTCTCGTACGTCGTAATCGGTTCAGATATTAATCCCGTCAGTGATTTTGGTGCGGGTGGCTTGCCCTAATTCTCGGCTAATTCTCGTGGCGTGATGTGAGGACCGCTCGGACCTCGGATGTCGCGTCGCGCATCCATTGGTGCCGATCGAGCCGGGATGAGGCATCAGGACGTACTTGCGAATTGGGACGAGTAAAGCCGCGTCTCGCCAGGATCGACCCTCGCCTCTCCCCTTCCTTCCATCCCGAGGACAACCCAAAAAACAACGACCTCGATCCACGCGTTCCAGCGCCGCCATCGTCCTCCCGGCGTCCTTCTGGTCGATACATTTCTGCGAATAGACACGCTTCCGGGACGGACCCTTATGCATATGTATAGCCGTAAACGATCGGAGTCAAGGTCGAATCGGTCATCCCGATTCTATGGTCGCAACGATATCGTGCGGACGAACGTAGTCCGGAAATAGCGCGCTCGATATCGTCTCGTGGTTAAAGCGAGCGTATGTTATTGCTGCTGATTGGCAGCTGATCGCAGCTAAGATCCCGCTTTAACCATCTTCTCTCTGTTTCGTCGGAAACTTGAAGCGGATATATATCCCGGCGATAACATATGGACATTATACGTAGATAACGATGTTTCTGGAGGAACAGAGTTGTCGGAAATGGGACTCGGTACACGAGCAAACGCAAACGGAAAAGCTTAACAGCCGACCGTTCGAAACTGGAACGTTTCTGTGAACAGTCGTGTGTGTGTGTGTGTGTATATATTTCTGTGAGGATGGAGATATCAGAGACAGAATCAAATTAATAACTGCAATTTGTACAAACGGATATAGCTGCGAAACTCGAGATTAGCCACCCTTTCAATCGAACAAGTTTAACGAACTAGAAGATTGCTGTTCAGCTATAAAGATATCTCTAATACGCGTTAGATTTGAAAAATTTTAGATTAACAGTCTCTTCAAATACGCGAGTGGAACTCGTTTTGAACTTTGAATTTTTTGGCCGATATAGTTTTGCGACTGTATCACCTCTGTGAAAGATTAAAATTGCGAATATCGCCTAATAAAATCATCAACGGCCAGCAGACCTGAAAAAGATACGTGAAAATTTTGTAATTATTCGATAAAACCTTGAACAAAAATTGCAAACGTCACGATGGGAATAATGGCGCAACTGTTGCTGTTATAAATTGGGTCAATGTTTCGTCCCCTATCGAATCTCCCTGTATGCGCTAACGGGACTTTAAATTCTGACGAATCTAAAAACTAGCATGACGCAGTGTTTTTCCTGCAACGACGATATAGAAAAATGTAGCAAAAATGAAGGCGCGAAAGCGGGTCGCGCGAATACGATATCCATTTTGAAGAAAGCTATTTTCATCGCTTTCAGCAGAAGAGCGTTTAATTGAGGAAGAGAACGCAACGCATAAACGTAACGTCATCATGTAGAAGCAGAAATCCGTGAGATGTCGACCCAAACAAACAAGATTTTCGTCGCCAACGTGTAGTACTTTTCAGGTATGTGACTTATCTTTTCTTTTGATAAAAAAATTCATCCACCAAAATTCGCCAATCTATCAAAACGTGGACTTTTGTGTTACATTTATCAAGAGCATAAAGCATCTTATGAGTTATGCTAATTGTAAGATATAAAAAATTGCAAAAAGATTTGTATATGACAGATTATTTAATGTTAATGTAACGATATGTCAAAGAAGTTTTATAGTTCTTCTTGTAATATAATTTTGTCATTAGACAAAATCAATCTTTTACTTTAACAGAATGATTATTAAACAAGTGATTATTTCTTTCTTTAAATTCTTTGCTTTTTATATTACAAAAACAATTTCTGGATGTAAAAAAGTATATTATATACTTAAGAAAGATGTAGTATAGTTCCTAAGCCAGTACCATATTGACATAGCTATATGTCGATTGTTGTTTTAACAATATATCAATATTATTTCCAAAGTTACGTAGAAGCAAATAACAGTTGACCCCATTTTCCAACTGGCGATATATGACACCTCTACGATTACTGAAAATAATTGATAAACCTTGTTTATTTTCATCCTTTTGGCCAACATATAATATTAATATTTTATATTAATATTTATAGAAAAAAATAGATATACTATAAAAATCAAAAATTATTTTAATTAAAGTTTTTTTTTTAATAAACCCTGATACGAAAGGATAGATAATTAAATTTCTTTAATTAAATTATGAATTAAATTTCTTTAATTAGGTTTGTCCGTAAACGAATTTTGCACGCATAAAATTTTATTTGAAAAAAGTAAAATTACACGTCAAAGTGAATGAACCGTGTGCTCAATGCAGCGATTTATTTCGAAATTACTGAAAAGCAGCGCAACAGCTTTATCGATGTGAAATTTCTCAGGCTCACTAATTTATCTTGCTCTATGTCACGGCAAATTCGTCACCTGTTGATCTCATTCTTTCCGCAGTTGACGGGAATTGGACCGGATTCAATTTGCCAACAATGTGTCGTCGGCTTTCGGAATTTACACTTCTATAGGAATTAAGTGATCGAGTAGTTGCTTTAGGCGGCCGTTGACGGCTCGTACAATTTCGATCAAAATATGGAACGTTTTTGATAACTTGAGAAGAAGATATTTCTTGAATAATAATATTATTTTTAAAATACAATTTTTTATAACATCAAAAACTCATTTTTTACTAAATATTTTACCATACATTATGAAAAATATGTGTAAAAATATAAAGTGAGACATACTTTTAGGAATACAGTTAAAGATGAACAATAAAATACAAAATTATGTATAATTAATATATTTTCATACATTTTTTAAACAATTTATTAAAAAAAAGAACATTTCATTCTTTTGCTCAAAATTATTATATCGAAGATCGAATTATCAAAATGTAAAATTTTCTAGAAATTAGATCAAGCTTAAACTTGTTGAATTGCATCAAATAATAAATAATTGCAATAAATTTCAGATGAAGTATAATACAATTTGATTGCACAGAGAAATAATATAATTTTAATGATAAGCAAACGATATATTGATCCGAATAACGAAGATGTAGAAAGGAATTGTGTCTGTGTGATCGCGAAAGTGACTTATGTAATATTAAGAATCAAATCTTCCACTGAGACTTATGGAGAGCCGGACTTAACTCTATAATTGGAGAATCGATTCGTGTATGAATATAATACGATTCCAATGTAGCGTCATTACGGAATAATGAGTAACATATAGGATTACATAAAGGACCGTTGCATATCAGATGTTATATATTGATAGAAATTAAATTAAGACAATATATACATTTCTAATATTCCTTCTTACAATTATTTTATCTAGAGTTTAATTATTTAATAAGATTCGCTGATATTCTTTAATCATTTTTGTAAAACACGGAAACAAATTTCAATACTTGGAAACAAATTGCGCGGGGATAAAAATAAATTCAGCGATATGGATTTACCGGAATAAAAGTAATCGTTGTAGCAGTTCTTCTTGCAAATCGACTGGAAAAATGTTCTAGAAAACTTTCAATTCTTACCATCATCTATAAAATAACGACGTTTTGACGAGCAACTGTAAAAAATCCAAGAAAAATCGTCGCTTTATTTTTATTCAATACCACTCGATATCTTCCATATTGTACGTTTTCAATTTACAATGTCGAGTTGCGATAATCTCGCACTTTTCGGGTACCGGCAAACTTTCTCCCGCTCGGAAATTGTATAACGAGTCAGGAACCGATGTATCTCATCTCAGCGCCTGTTCTCGAAAGTTGCTTCGGGGCTTTCGTAAACACGGAAATCACGGAATGCCTCGCAGGCGTTGGCACAAATTTCCCTAATTAATTTGCGATTACCGTTAACGAGAAGAAACGCCGGAATGGGAATCAGTGGGAAGTATTAGTCCGACGATCGTCTTCGACCGAGTATCGACTGCGATAATAACTCGGCGTTACGTGCCCCGTAATTACATCACGGCAATTTTCCCGGCGTAACAAGCTCCCAGTCGATCGTATGTCCATCTAAATTGAGATTAACGCCTGGATGTTATGCTTGCGACAATTGTATATATGTATAGAATCGTGTCGAAACACGACTCGGTTAACTCAATCGCGACTGTATGAAAGATGAAAAGCATTTGGACGTGTTTTGCGGGTTCCGCGAGGGGATTACGTGAATATAAATTATTCTGTATCCGCATTCGTGTGTTTGGAAGAATTTTTAAACAAGCTCGCCAAGTAGATTTACAGTCTATACATGAATTGAATCTTCCGCAGCTGGAAATAAAAGCCCCTTGATTCAGACGCATTTGATAATACGAATGGGCTTGCATACGTGAAGAGGCTCGACTTCGAGAAAGCTTACATTTTTTTAAAAAACAATCGAGAGAGGAAATAATGTTCTTTCCATTGGAAAAATTTATCTGTCTATTTCTGTCCCTACATGTTACATCGCCGCGAATTCTTCATCGATATCTGGTTCGAGGAACAATTTAATATTCCGTCACGATTGATAAAATGCATTTTTCTTCTCTCGAAATAATATAATTAGTAATTATCATTGCCAATAGGTATAATGGTATAATGATACTAATTATCATTATCAATAGGTATTAACGTAACAAATTTTGCGCACACACGAAAGATTGTTATAGATATCGATAAAATTTAAATGGAAGTAATCCAATAAATATCATAAATTCACACGTGGCCTTTGTCGCGGTACGTGTGTCAACGTGAGAGAGCAATCAGCCTTTATCTAATTACAACCGATCCAAAAATTCTATACAAACAGAATTAGTTTCGATTACAACGGGGCGGTGTAAAAACACATATCGCGCACTGTGTAGTTTTGATCGCACAGTAACGTTGTAAAAAAAATGCACGCAGTTAGTGCATAGCTTTTTTTATGAGAGAACACGATAACCAACGTGCTCTCGGTGAAAAACTAGGATGCATCTCTTTGTTGCTTTTATCCTCGCACATTCCACCGAAAAGGTTTTAAAGCTGATGGATTGACCGTGGACCACGTATGACGAGGACGGAAAAACGACTTTTTCGGCGATTTTTCACTTTGAAGTTTCCACAACATTTTTCGCCGTTTTTCTCAGTCGCTCTATAAATCTCGTTGCGGCGACAACGAGATTAACGAGATATTGCACGTCAATATGAGCGGGCAATGGTTAACACGGGCGTAGATATAATTATTTTAACATTCATCAATCGACAGCGACATTTAACCTACGTAACTATAGTTGTAATAAATAAAATGCAATTACAAATCTAACATTCCGGAATCTATCGCATTTTTATCTGTGAATTTCGTAATCGATCTACAACTAATTTTTCGTACGAAAATAAAAATTTGATTTTTTTAGAATTTTTAGAATTTTAAATATTAATTGTCTATAACTGCGAACAACTTACTGTGAGATCACAAAATTATTTGTCCAAGCTAATTTAAAATAGATGTGAAAAAAAGGTTGCTAAAACATTCTATAGGTTCTTCCATTTTCTCTCATAAATATATAATGCGCCGATTGTGTGTTGCTCGTCGGAATTACGGAAGCTCATATAACTTTGCTCGCAATTTTTCACGTTAGCATTCGTACATAATCACCGGAACCACAGATCCTCTCGCAGAAAACGAAAAGAGAGAGACTCCGCGGGGTCTGCCTCGCGTGAAAAAGCTCACGAGTTGTTAGAGAAATTTCACCCCGCCGGTGGATTCGACCGGCGTGTCAAAGAGCTAATTAAGCCGCGGGGCTGCTTGTTCTCGCAGCATTAAAGGAAAAGACAACACGCTCGCGTTTTATCACGTATTTCGCGGCAAACAAAGAACCTTCCTGGTTTTATTAGCTTTGCAACACCTACCTTTGAGTCGTGCATTCTCTCGGGTACAACACGGATTCTTCACGATATGCGTATTTGAATCTGATTGTGAAGAATGAGGAGAGGAATAATATGAATTTAATACGCCGAGTAGATCGGGAATCACAAATTCACTATTGATTATCCCATTACAAGCAAAAAATTTATTATTATTATTATTATTATTGTTATATTATTATTACTTATCTTTATTTTTTATTAGTATAATTAATTATTATTATCATTATTGTGTGTGTGTTATATCATGTTTATTAGCAAAAGATACATGTAAAAGGAATAGTATGTTACAATTAAATTATTAATAAAGGTAAAGGTCAGAGCTGTAACGTTTTTCATAATCTGATTTTAAATAAGGACAATATGCAGATTAGAAATTATATACTATACTCGAAAATTAATTTTTTCATGTGGATTTTATATGTATATATCATTCTTAACACTACCGTATAAAATAATTTTAAAGAAATTGTTTCCTATAAAAGCCTTAAATACACGCAAAAAGATTAATCTTGTTGTATCATCTATTCAGAACATCCGTTGTCATCGAGGGTGAAAGGGGGTGAATCGACAGAGCAGGGTCTCATTTGCCGTCCGTGGTGGCAGTGACGTCGTGATCGGCAGGGTCCAAGGGCCCATGGCCGGGTATTGTTTTCGGTGGTGGCTCCCGATCGCGATCCTATCCGGGTGCTTTCCCCCTTCAGCGGCTGACGCCGCTCGTATTTCGTGCACGTCTACCTATCCTACGGAGGTGGCTCGCGGCGGGGACGTGGTGGTCTTCCTGGGCGAGAGATGCGACCAGGAGATCAACGTCACCGAGATACAGGATTACTTGGCCGCGCCGGACGTGGCCGGCGAGCTCTCGATCAGCGTAATGCCGAGACCCCGTGAGTATATTGCTACTTGCCCGAGTGAATTCGTCGATACGGCTTTGTTATCGATAATGTAAAAGAATCGTGAAAGAGAAAATGCTGCAAATTTCTCAGATATGAAATTTCTATTAACATTTAATCCGAAATAATACTCGGAAATTTATAAGTAATTAATTAATAATATTTTGAATTTTAATTATACACGAATATCCCGGAAATTAGCGATAAAAGAAACATCGCGCAGACTGTAATCTGAAACACGTCAATTAATCAAATCACTATTGTGCTATAACGCGGCAGTTATTTTTTTTCGCGCAGTTAATTAATTATACTGTCTCGTGTATGTTCATTGTACGCCAGAGATACGATGTTAAATTTTAATGTAACGTTCGTTCTGTACACACGCAGAATATACATATACGATATTGCATATTACGTATATATCTATCATATAATGTGTATATCGAGCTACCGTAATATAATCATTCGCGCGTTTCCGTTACGTCGTATCAAGCGGCTCTAAATTTATATGCGCATGAATCACGCGGTGTCCAATAATCCAATTACGTATTTAAATCGAGACTCGGCCGATTATGCGTTTGGCTGTTAAGTGCCGGCGAACCGCGAAGAGGTCTATGCGTTTTTCGGAAATAACGAAACTTTGATCAAATAACGGATGCAAAGTTGACCGTCAACGACGCGCATTTAATATGATCCGCGTGACATAAAACTGATACTCGAGAGCACGCGAGAGATCGCGAAGGAAGATCAGGTTTGCGCCGAGGGCCATCCTCAAGTATCAGTACGAGAGATCCATATCCAGGACGCTCTAATAGCGTTCTCCATTGTGTTGTCTACTCCATTATATTTTACACAATCGCCGGCGACTGCACAAACATAGACGATCACATGTATTTGTACAAAGATGCGTGCGTGTATCTGAATAGAATCTCGTTTCAAAGATACGACGAAGCGAGTTCGATGCTGTTAAGTATCAATTGCAAACGAAACAGGAGAAAAAGAGAGAATTGTCTCGTTCTCATTTCGGAGAGAAAGATAGTGAGCTTATCAGAATTGATAGCCAAACTCGTGTTTTCTTTCTTTTTTATCTTTTTCTCTTGCGGCGCATCGCGATAACAAGTTCTCGAAGTAGAAGGACGAATTCTTCGATCGTCGTCTCGCGAGGAACTAATAGTTCGGATTAATTAATTTCCAGTGACGTGCGAGACGGAAACCGGGGGCCTCGGCGCGCTGATCCACGCTGTCGGTGAGAGCAACACAAAGGCAGTGATAGCCGCGCTCGACAGCTCTATCTGCCAAGTGGCCGATAAACTAGCGCATCTCGGGAATAAACCGTTTCTCACGTGGACCTGTCCGTTGGTGAGTGTTATCACATTTACTCGTAGTCATCGTGACGGTTCGTACAATTATCGGAGTCTGCGAACCGACAATAGTTATCGGTTAAGATACATTTCCGGTATTTCGAGAAACAAAAGGAAATTGTAAAACTTGACACAAATAAGGCTATTTCATGGCAATCTCTTTGTTTAATAAAGAAAAACTGTAATAATAAAAATTTACAAGATTTTATGTTAGAGTAATGAATAGTTTTCTAAAGACGCGTCTGACCATTATTGACTTGAATCACTAGTTTATCCAAATAGTTATTTCTAGAGATCTCGACGATCATTATTCGTGATAAAATGGTTAATAATTTAAAAAATAAAGAGAATTGTGTTTAAGTGACATTTATGTGCATGTTCTGTTTTTACTTTAAAGAGATTAAATCAATGCAAATTGTTTCGTATATGCAGAATCCATGATGGATATTTTCCGCAGATCATCGGTGTCGCACTTTGATCCGGTGGCGCTAAATTATTTGCATCGTTGAATAAATGTATCACGCTCCGGTGCGGAATAAAGACCATCACCGAATGCAGACGGGGAAAAAATATCAAATGTGCAAATGCCGCGGCGCGTTATTGCGGCACGTTTGTAGCAAATCGTAAAGTATAACGCGACGTTATTCGACAGCCCATGCAGCCCTGTATTTTTTCCTGGGAGGTTGAATTAAAATAATGAAAATTTGTGTGGCCGTAAATAATTTGGCGCAATAAATATCCGCATAACGTAATATCCGTCGAAATTGGGAAACCCAAGTAAATATCGCCTCGGTCTCTGCGCCCGCAATTGGTTTTACTGAAAGAGCCAATTTTAATGCCGGTTCTCGAGCAGCGAGTTTGAATTGAATCCGATTATTAATTTAGAATATTTATTTTCCGTTGTATTCAATTTTCTTATTGGCGTAAATTATCCACATTTATCTCTCTGATTCAAACGGCAAACAGACGGTATATTACATCGTCGGGTATCTCTCTTTCAATAATATCATATATAAAACTTAATTTGTAACATTTTTTCCAAAATCGGCCGTGAACTTCGTCATCAGTAAAGTACAATCCGCTCAAGCGAGATTGTCACTCTACGAAAAGCTCGTCTTTATCTGCTCATAGATCTTTCACGAGTTCCCCACGGCAACAGTTATGTCATCGTATCAATGGATCTGACGTATATTTTCAGATATTCCTTGATTCGACGTGGTTGAAAATGGAATTAAATTTCGTAGCGTCATTCCTATATCCGTTACATTTAACTTTTTCAAAAGTAGTTTTTTAATTAAAAGATAAAAGCAAAGTATACAAAAATCGGATAAAGTTCCGAATAGGTGAACCCTCCGATTTTTTTGAAACTACACTATTTTTTGTATTTTTTAACGCTGTTATTTAGTAAATTTATAGTTGTTTTTAATATATAAAATAATATTATTGAAGAGAGTCTGCAAATATTTCGAGTTTTATTTATTATATTGAGAGATGCAATTAAAAAATAAAAGGAAAAAAGAGAGAAGTAAAAATACAATTCGATAATTTTTACAAATAATTCTCTGCAAAGAAAACTTTTACTTCTCGAATAGCATTGATTTCGAGTAAAAGAGCTATAGATCAAAAATAAAGCGTCTCATTAAAATTTAAGAGGATCACGAATATCGATAACTTATGTTCCAGAGAAATTTGAAGGAGAGGGATCTATCGTCCATCATTAGGCTTTCCCCGTCATTACCGTCAATGGCTAATGCCGTGGCGGAAATATTCCTGCACTTGCAGTGGAAGACTGCGATCATTATCGGCATAGGTAAATTTTCGAATAGCACTCAAATCGTAATTAGCATAAATATTATACACTCTATCATTAAACAAATAATGTGATAAAATGGAAAAAGTAAACTTCATTACTCTTTAATATTTGTTTCAATAATTAAATATAAGAAGTTTTTTCACTATCTATTTGATTTTAATTGTTTTAAAGTTAATATTTTACAATACAAAAGATAATAAAAAGTAATCTGTGTTATTTACTGAAAGATAAATTATATTTGGAATATTATTCTCTTAAAAATATATAATTTATATGCAAATTGAAAAAGAGAGAAAAACTACCAAGATAAGAAAGTCTTCATTTGTAATATAATCGTATCCGCGTTCGCCCTGAAACGTGAAACGTGACGACAATTCTCTTCTTATTTCTCTCTCGTAAAAAAATTTCGCAAAATTTATTCTACATTTCCAATAAAAATGGACTTTATGACAGTTGATTAAAATTTTCCAACGTTTATTAACTCGCGATTTAGAAAGGAAATTACGTATTTTATTGGTCGACTCCATTAAACGTACAATCGAGATGTGCATGCGAAAAAGCTCGTTTATCACAACGTCTATTACACGAGAAAATTACGTATGGCCTCTCGCTTCTGACGTCACAATTGAATCTCGACTGCGAGTCAAGAGCGTTAAGTGTTAAATCGCGAACGATATGAAATGGTCGGAACGATAATAGACTGCGAAACACACCCATGATTCTCAATCCAGTGAAATACGAGTGCGACGCGCTTATTGAATTTTAATACGCGTGTCACATCACGATGCGAGACTCTCGATTGACGATCACTGCTGCAGATCGTGAGCCGTGGTCCAGCCTGGATAGTGCCGTGATCAACGCCTTTGGGAAGATCGGTGTGTTTCTGCGGTATCACTTAATCCTACCCCATCGCGCCACCCTCGAGCAGATCCGCAGGATACTCAAGTCCGTGCACAGCATCTCCCGTCGAGGTAAGTACTGCGCATCTAATCCCATTACACGGAAACTCGCAAGCATTATCCGGCACTTACATCCGCCCGCGCCAAATGTATTCCAAACTGCCGAAACTATCGCATTGAATTAAAATTAAATGGCTTCCGGAAGAGAGAGAGAGAGAGAGAAACAGAAAGAAAGAGAGATAGACAGACAGGGAAAAACGCATTCCTTTTGTCTTTTTGTCTGTAATTCGTGATTGATGACATTTATGTGCAGTTCTAATGCTCCACGATGCGACGTACTTTGATGGCGATCTGCTTTTGATGTATTTCAAAAGGGACTCGCGACTCAATTTAATTACGTTTCTTTCGTTTCGGATCACGATCTCATATAGAACGTCTGACTTTAATTCGATCCATTTCCAAAGCCGACTCTTTTCTTCGCTAATAGATTAAAGTATCAGTGGTTTTTCAATTTTTTAAATAGCATGGTCGTTGCAAGATTGCAAAGAAATTTAATCATTCAAAATTATCAATTTCTTATAATCATCAAAGAATCCATCATTAAAATAATCGCGTCCGGTTCATCTCTCGTCTCTATTTAAAAAATAAAAGAGGAAAAAGAATAAATTAATCCGCTTGAAAATTAATATTTATACCGGAAACAAATAAAGTACGACGAACATGTAGTAGCATCGCAATACAGGCAAACTTATTGCTGTTTACACGCTTTGAGGATTGAATTTCAGCAGAAATCTATTTACTGCTGTTTATAAATCTTTTATTCGCTCTACGTATGGGAATTGAAAGAGCGAGCGAGCGAAATTCCCGTCGAGTAAAAGTACAGGCAATCCCAGAGATTGCACGTACACGCGGTACGTGTTTATAGAGGGTTCGAGTTAACGACGTCTTCCTAAATCTTTTCGTCGTGCGTAAAGATTATCTCCGGCCTTATAAATCGGATTAAAAACCGCCTACAACCATCTTTCCAATTACAATATGTATGAAGAACAAAGAGGAAACACTCATATACGAACCACTCGGGTTACGCGGGTTGCGAATTGAAACTTCGTTGAAATTTTAAAAGCCGTTAAACCGTCGCAAGTTGCATCTTAACCCGTAGGAAAAGACGAGCGACTTAGTTAGCGACAATTTACGACGTCCAGTAGTGAATTCTTGTAAATGCAAATGAGTCGAGTAATAGCGCGACGCGGCTCTTTGCAGAAACCTTGAGCGAATGTATATCTCGGTATAAATGTGATGTAATCAGAGAGTTCGCTTTAATTAATTTCAATTAGATGAATAAATCTCGTCACGTTTCGCTGCACTAGATAAATAAAGACTGTGACCTGTCGCGAGAATCTGGAAATAATTATTTATCCATCACACTGCGTCGTTCATGTAAATATAAGAGATATAAAATCTCAATGATAATGGCTTTGTCTGCGAATGAAAAGATCCAATAATTGCGCCAGAAATTCGTTTCGTCATTGCAATGTACATTTCAGAGCTGTTATCGCAGCACAAAATAGGGAATGCCTGTGTCTTTGGTTAATTAATATTAATTAGTCTTCGGTATTTTACGTAACATTTTAATTAAAATCCGCAGCTTTAATGTTCCTGAAAGGGCTTATAAGATTGCATAAGGGTTATAAGTTTAATTACCATTTGACTGGTCACTCGGCGATCATTAGCCGATATTTTATACCATTTTCCGCTGTTTACCCCTTTCTTCTTCGGACGCTTTTTCTACCCCTCCTCGATCTCTTCTTCTTCTCCTTCGTTCGTATTAGACACACAGCAAAAAATATCGTGCATTATAGGAGCGAATAAATGATTCTCCGCGAAAAAAGAAATTAAATACTATTTTTAACATAAAAATTTTCTGGCATTGTTGACATTTGTTTATTGACACAAAATTCAATTTTTTTTTTTCGAACGTTATATAAAAGCCGAGTAATTTATACAAAGCCTTTCGAGAGATTTCATTAAATCGCTTTACCCAATTAAAGAGATGGACACTAAACACGTTATTTTCATGATTATATCAGCAATATATAGCGTTTATAGTGCCAATTTAATCCCTTAATGCCGAGATTTTCGACTAACGCGGCACGGAGAACAAACTTGCGCTAATAAATTAAGTTTTGTTCATTAAGAAGACTAAACTGCCGTAAAGCTTGCTTTTACTTGGGTATAATTTCTAAATAATGCACCTTTGAATAAAGAACCCTCTCGAAAGACTAGCTCCTCCGAGAAAGATTGAAATAATTTATTTTGTCTCCTTCTCATGAATCATAAAATCATAAATTACTAAAAATCTAACAAATGATAATAAATAATAGCATTAAATAATATATAAATATACATATATACATATATATTATTTAGTGTTATTATTTATAATTATTTATTTTTTAATAATTTATTATTAATAATTAATTCAATTACTATCCAGAAATCCTGTATCTAGATTTATCATTTATTCACTCTCGAGTATATCTCATATCTTTTATACGTCACGTAAGTCGTAAATCGAAATTTTTCTTTTGTCAGCTACGGTACTTTGTCTGCCGCTGCTCGACGAGGTGACAAGTCGCGTTTTGATGGAGCTAAACATCGCGTGGCAAAACCACATTCAGAATTCCGTCATCCTGATGATCCACACGGAGGATATCGATCTCTTCCTTCCGAGAGACGAGAACCCGCCGTCACCCGCCTCGCTCCCCATCAATCCGATGACCTTGGCCCAATCCGCGATTACTCAGTCTTCCAATTTTTCTACCTCGAACGTAACTCGCGCCGGCCCGAATGCGATTCTGGAAAAGGACGAGAGGAGGGTACAGGAGATCCCGCGATGGATCTTCCCGCCGAGGAATCTCAGCAGCAACACGATGGAGAATCTACTCGCGGTCGCACCGCTCGATCAGAGGTAATCAATTATTAATGACGTTAACCTGAAGACAATTGACGTCGATATTCCGAGTTTAAGATATTTTAAATTCGAGGTCTTTCATAAAAATTAATCAACAAGAGTTATCGAGACAAATTGATTTTTTTTTATGTTGTAAAATATTGAAATTCCAATTGTTTTCCAGTATCTTAGATTACGTAAGTGTGAATCTTACAATACTCGTAGCTTTTTAGCTTTAGGTTGCCTCGATTAAATGTTCCATTAGGAGACGTCATTGTTCGTAATCTAAGATAAATAAATCGCGAGAAATGTCTGTTTAATTATTTATCGGAATTTCTTTCATATATATCCTGATAAAATTCATGAATGCATCATGAATATGTATTTTGTAGTGACGTCACCAAATTGACGCATCAAGTTAATGCATCTTGAGTCTTAATTATTATTGATAATCGCGATTTAGTCGTTAAGAAATTTTATAATTGCAAACAGATTGCAGTAGAATAGATCATGAATAACTTGCAGTCGACTTGGTAAATTAATTAACGTTCGAAATTACATAATTAATCACCTGTTTCAGAATATTTTTGCAGCTTATTTTCTTCGTATACTCGATGAGGAAGGATATAAATACTAGAAGATTTATAATAGCAAAAACTCTTCCGCTGCGTAGAAAATCCTTTTAAGAGAGACTTCTAAAGATTCTTGGAATATTTGCAAAAACTGTCAGTATAGCCGATAGCCGGTAAACACCATGGCTTTTATCTTTAAGAATAAACATCCATAATAAGATTAGTCGTATAGCTTTGAAATATATATAGCCTTGGTATTTATAGCCTTGGTGTGAAACACGTCTATTGTCTCAAACATCTGTGCATTGTGTGGAAAAATAACGTTCATACATTAAAGAGCGTTGTAAATTTTTACGCAATGATAAGTACTTGAGACACGATTACTGATAAAACGCGTTCAAATATGTTTATTTTTTTGTCCTAAAATTTACGAGAATGCCGATTAATAATTTGACTATCGCAATTTATTCAAAACACGTAGAAATTTTATCCACAGTCTCGTCATTTGTCTAATGAATAATTCGACTGGAATGTACATTATCAAGGAATCGGTTAAGCAAGTCGACTTTAATCAGGGGACATTCTCTCTCGTTCGATCGAGGCAACAACGCCGCGTAATTACGAAGTTCCATCTTGGACGATCCCGAATTATAATATAAATCGTGCTTGTCGGATCATCGGGTCGGATTAATTGCGGGCGTTGATCCGTGTAATTCGCCCCGTGATTAACTCACGGGGACGTCTTCGGCGACGCCGCGTCGCCTCAATAGGTCTTGCGCAGGCAAATCAAAGGTAGTTTCTTCACACAGGTACGACGTGAGGAAGATCTTCAACGGTACGCAGAATTACGCGACGCCGTCGTTGCTCGATCGATTGAACGAATCGCTGATCGTGTTGACGCGCGACAACAGCAGCCTCGACGCCCACAATAACAAAATGTACACATACGCTTTGTTGGACTGGCGTACCGACGTCGGTTGGAAACCGATTCTCGCGGTTGTCAACGATTATCAGCGGCTGCAAGTTCAACAACTGACATCAAACGCCGTGGCGTTCTTCAACAACCTCGAGATGTCCGACTTGCTGTCCTGCGACGACGATGCCGATTGCCCGGGTGAGCCCGCAGGAGATTTATTGATGACAAATTGTTCTTTCAAGCCTACAACAATTTTATCACGTAATTAGCAACGGTGCGTGCACGCACACAGAAAAAAACATACTATATACAAGTAAATATTACTTGTTTCAAGTATTTCATAAGTTCATATATCCGCAAATCTATCATAAGTTCATCATAAGCATCAAATTTATTCAAAATATATTCTGAATCCTAATAAATATAATATTTCAATCAAGAATATTAAATTACATAATTGAAAGAAATACATTAAATTTTTCTGATCTAATAAATTTTCTTACATTAAATTAACCATATCTGACTTTTCTTCGATAAAATTTTATAATATTCTTCAAAAGAAAATATTTACTTTTTTTGAGTACATGATAATGAGTATTTCTAAAATTTGTGACAAGTTTATTTTAAGACTATTATTAAGAAAATATTCTTTGTTAAAGATAACTGTTACTTAAAAGAAGTAAAGTAAACTGAGTAATCATTTTACTTAGCAATAGAATAATATTTTTCTGTGTGCGGATACCAGAAAACTTTTTGGATATTTTTCTCGAAATTACGATTTAATGTTTAGGTATTTGCACACTAGTAATTACCGTTATCCGTTATTAATGCTTGTTAAAAATTTAATAATTAAAACGAATGCAAGAGGAATAACATTTCTAATTTAAAAAGCCGTGTTTAGTAGTAATATTAATCTGTTTTGAACAATATTCTCATAATTCAGTGACATTTCGACATGCTAGCATAAAGATAAGAATTTTGAATTAATTGCTCTATTTTAATATTAATTTTATTTGTATTGTCACAACAAAAATAGTGCACTATAGTTATCAGCGTTCTTATACATAATTTTAGCTTCTCTTTACAATATCGTTAAATTATAAAAGCGAGGAAATTTTGCATATATCGAGATATTCCCAAGTTTCTATAATTGTTAACGTAATAATTAATGTGATATATATCTCGTGGAAAAATGTCTAAGAAACTTATTTATTATTTAACGGATTCTGTCTAACACACACGCGATGCTCGATCGCGTTGCGATACGGTCGTAAGAGATATTGTCAAAAATAGAACGAAGTAATTGCGGAATGGGGAAAAGGTGCAAAGGAGAAAAGCTCTCTCCCTTCGTGCCTTTCATTGCCGATCGGGATCGATAAACGGCTCCCTCGAATCCGAAAATATCGCCCGATAATGCCGTAAAGATTAATGCAGTGCATTAATTATTTATTAGATGGCTTGGCCGACATGTCTTTCCGTACCACACATATCGTAGCTATTATTCTGGGGTCGCTGCTGTTCACCTTTGTCGCCATAGCCGTCGGGATTATAGTCCGGTAAGCACAATCACTTTATCTCACGTTATACATCATATTATTTATAATTCGCAGTTAAACCGCAGAAAGTAATCATGCATTAACGCTATGTTTTTTATTCCCAGTATCGCAACTGTTGCATATATACATGTAAACATTTTTTTCTATTTCTAATATATTAATAAATAAAGACTTTATATTAGATATCTTTGTTTATAGAAAGCGATTGATCAAGAAAAGGATGTCTAAGGGCCCATACAAAATCATCCTAACGACATCGGACTTTGTTTTTCCTCAAGTGCCTCCAGTAGATTCGAGAACGGTGAGTGGAACTTTTTGTAGTACAGAAGTTTTTAATACTTCTAACTTTGCTAAAAAGATTAAAGTATCCTTGCACATGTAGAATTACTAGAATTATTTCAGTAGATTTATACTTGGTTTTCTCTTATTCGACGTCTTTAATCGTTCTTCCGTGAAATATCTCGGAAGAGATGTGGATAGAATTAAAATCTGTCGCTAGCGGCAGCTAGCTTATGGCAGCAAGTTTATGTAAAATTCCGTGTCTTTTTTTTTTTATTACAAACGTCAAAGCTTGAATCCAAGACAAAAGCAATTTTTCACGGTTGTCATCAGGTAAAGATCGTGAAATCGTATTAACACCGCGGACCAACTTTTCCTCTTGCGGGAAAAATTCTTTTTAATATGACGCAATTTTATGCGAGAAGGATTGCTGCGATCCTGATATGGATCGTATATTTCACACGAGACCGATCGCTACGTCTGAGCTCCTAAATTATCGGTTTACGTAGCAAGAAATATCCGATAAAAGCGTTAAATGTCACCGTGACACCAGTTCATTGGGCTTAATTGAATCACCCAACGAGTTTCAATCATTACTGTATGCCAGTTAAACGTCAATAAATTTTTTACGTTGTGATTTTTATATTTAAAGAGTGATGTTCGATCTCTCATGATTGAAATGCACCGTATTTCCAGAAAATAATTGTTTCTCTTTTCGAAAAAATTTTCTTGCATATATAAAGAATATTCTCTCTTTATCTCATTTTGAATTTTTCATTTTTGTCTATATTATCATTTGACAGCCTTTTTTATATGAATAATCAGGTTGTATCGGTGGCTCGATTCTTCCGGTGAGAACATTCTATAAAAGCAATCGATCCTATTACTCTTCCGTATCACATTCCTCGAATGATATCGACATTAATTTTAAGCGTGCGCTTAATCGCACACGGTTCATGCGTGCTCTCAGGTAGATGAAGGCATCGAGGCGATGCTATGCTGCTGGCTACAGCAACTGCAGGAGTTCGGCGGACCGGAAGTCGAGAAGCCGGATCTGCTCCAGCTCGGCAGCGTCAATTCCCTGAGGCCCTATTTGCAGGCCAGCAGCGGAAACGGGCCGCGGCATACCTTTTTCAAGGATCCACGCGCTAGGTATAACGTGAGTATACATCCAATTCAGTTAACAACTATATTCTGGATATATTTACATATTTTTGCGTCATCTGATCGCGGCTGTCCTATTCGAAAAACATTTTTAAATGATGCAAGAAATGATAACTTTCTTTGACATTTCTGCTAAAAGATATTTGGTGGTTTTGGGATAGTTTATAGGTATATATATAATCTCGCATCCACAATAATAACTAATAAAATTAAAATAATAAGATAGCTGAGAAATAGATGAATGATCCGTGCGTAGCGTATATTTATAAAAAGAAAAGTAGAACGAAAATCATGCGTTGCTTTGGAAAAGCTTATACGGGAACAACCCATGCTTTCAAGGCATTATCGACGTCCTATATCCTATACCTTCGCCCTTGCAAACAATTTCATCCTTGATCACTTCCGAGAATCTTCCGCTTGACATGACGCACGGTATTATGCGACAGCACTGAGAATATATATTCTCCGTGGCACACATCGATATTCATTTTCGCGCGCATCGTAGACATCCGCGTCTCTTTTATATCAGCGAGACGCTGATTAATGCCGCAAGTTTTGCAATATGACGGCGACCGATAAGAACCTTTCACCCTTAATGAAGATTGATAAGACAGCGTTAAAACGTATTACAATATTAGTCCTAAGTGAATTAATTTCTCTTGCATCTTTCAATCATATATCGCGACGTGTGTCAAACTTTTCCACACCGTTACACAAGTCAGACAGATTACAAGATCCAATACCACCGGATATAATACCGTATCAATGCTCGAGTTAATGATCCGTCCTGTGATTTCTGATAGGGTGACTTGGTTCAATTGAAGGAGCTACCCTTTCAAGGTACGTTCGAACTGAAGAGCAAGGCCATGGACGTGCTGGTCACGGTAAAGGCGCACATCCTTTTTATTCATTCTTCTGAATTACATCTGTGATCGAGTTTCTCTCCACTTTCCACTTTTGGGCAGATCCACGGGCTGCGACACGAGAATCTCAATCCTCTGATTGGATGCCTTAACGAACCTACGAGACCCTGCCTAGTGTCGGAGTACTGCTCGAGGGGATCCCTGGAGGACGTACTTGTTCAGGATGAAATTAAACTCGACTGGTCCTTCAGATTATCCTTGCTCACCGATCTTGTGCGGGTGAGTAAGATCGCGTTCTGTGTTTAACGCAACGCGAGTTGTTACCGGAAAGATTTCAAAAGGTTAAAAAGATTTAGAGGAATTTAAGAAATATTTCTAACGTGCTCACCGTCCGATTAATATTATATTATACAAATATACATTATATCATTTTATTTTAGTTAATGTGATCAAAATGCAAAAGTAAAAATAAAATGTTGGATTTTGAGACGTCACAATCATTATACAAAGCGTCGGAGAGCCTCGAATTTTGATTTCAAATTTTTCAACAAATTTATTAAATGTTAATCATTATCTCTTGAAATTGAAATTTTTTTTGAAATATTTTGCAATTATTAATTTTACGAACTTGATTATTTCTGTTCAGGGTATGAGATACCTTCACGGCACTCCAATACGCGTTCACGGCTACCTCACGTCGCGAAATTGCGTGATTGACGCAAGGTGGGTCTTAAAAGTCACCGATTATGGTCTGCCTGCATTTTACGAGGCGCAGAATATAGTGCCGCCGGTGAAAACGGCTCGAGGTGAGTCTCCTTTGCTTCAATCTTCTACCTCGTTCCATTATATACTTTCTTGAATGTACATAGATATTTGATACGATCTGTTTTCCAATATGAAATTGTTTCATTAAAACTTGAATAAATAAGAACGATATTGTAGGATTATTCTTGTAGGACTATTCTGAAAAATATTGCATTATTATAAAAAAATAATAATCCTTAGTATCACTCCTCAAAGAGAGAGAGAGAGAGATTTTAATATTTATCAAACTTTAATATTCGCATTCCACCTACAAAAATTTATTTATTTATTTATGTAAAAAGAATCAATATCAAAAGAAATAATGAAATAAGATTATCAGGGAAAAAGAATCAATTTGATTCGAAATGAAAATTATCCAGTAACATCGGAAATTTAATAATACGATTACCCAAGTTATATAAAATCTCATTGAAAGTTACGACTGCGTGCCTCGCTAATTAAACGCGTTTAAAGTGAAATCCGTGGATTTCGCGTACTCATTACTCTAGAAAATAGGATTATAATAAGGATAAGAATAGGATTAGGATAATTAATATAAGCGAGCGCTCGTGCAGTTATTAATTTCGTTAATAATTGCCGACTTATTGTTGGATAGGTTTATTATGGACCGCGCCGGAACTGCTTAGGTATCCGAATCTGCGGAAAAGGGGAACTCAGGCTGGGGATGTTTACAGTTTCGGAATTATCATGCAGGAAGTCGTTGTTCGTGGAGAACCATTTTGTATGCTCGCTCTGTCTCCGGAAGGTAATGTGTCTACGCGATTTCTATCTCTCCTTTTCTGTAATTCTAATCGTAGATTGCCCCCGAAATAATTAAATGTATTGAGAAAAAGATATATTTATTTTTATACGTTGATATCTTAATCATTTTTAATATAAATATAAATTAACTGTTAATTGTCTTCAAAGAAAAGTCACGAATGACAATTCAAATAATGAGATCAAAATAAAACCATAAAATAAAAACAAAATAATCAGCCGATATATATTGCATTTTTTTTTGACAAAACAATTAGCACAGAATAAGAGCGTTACAGCAAAAATGCAAAGACAGATTTATAATTGTAATTTAGATTTTGTGTATTTATTAAACTCGTATCTATTGGCATCTATTATCCAAAGACGCAGACTTAAAACTTCGAAGCCTCACAATACATGCATTCAGTATTAAAATCCTAGCGTTAAGTGTTATATCCAAGGATCAAACGTCAGGCATGTCTCTCGCATATCTCGCAGATATAATTGAAAAAGTAATGAAGCCACCACCCCTGATCAGACCGTCAGTTAGCAAAGGCGCTGCGCCACCGGAAGCCATAAACATCATGCGTCAGTGCTGGGCGGAAACTGCTGAAATGAGGCCTGACTTTGACGACGTGCATGATCTCTTCAAGAAGCTGAATCACGGGAGGTGAAATTACCTCTCGGCACCCTTTAATCTTTGAGGCGCTTTGTGCTCTTACAATTAGAGCGGAAATTTTGGATATAATTTTAGCTAAAAGTCTAAAGTTACGCTGCTAGAATCCATTTTTCGTAGATCTTTATGATTCAGTAGCACACGGATTCATCAGCATTTAGCTGCGTTTATAGTGGTTTCTTTTAATAAATATTAGTTACAAATTGTGTGTCACACGTACTAAAAACTTTATTTAGATTAATAAAAATCCTGCTTTTTTCTCTCTTAAAAATATGTAATAGAATAAATTTAATTATTTTTTATTTAAAAAAGTAATTTATTAAAAAAGATTAAATTTAAATAATTAATTTATATAACTTTATTAAGCTAAAAGAAAATTATGTCTTTTGCTTATTTATCTTATCAATATTAATCTTTATCTAATTCGATCTCTTCTTTCTATCTTGATGCTATCCAATTTGACACAATATTTCCTTGCGACAATGCCGCCGTCACAAACATCACATTTTATTTCCAGAAAGGTAAACTTTGTAGACACGATGTTCCAAATGCTTGAGAAGTACTCGAACAATCTGGAGGAACTCATTCGCGAGCGTACGGAACAACTTGATATGGAGAAGAAGAAAACTGAGCAATTGTTGAATAGAATGCTACCTAGGTAAACGATAGACCAAAGATCGCGTTATTTTGCGACAAGAATTGATGCGATCAAAGTTGGCGCGATTAAATTATTTATTGTCGATATCGCGATTTTGATCTCTCGCTTCGTGCTGCTTAAAAATTAAAATGGAAAAGAAAATTATCGATATATACGCGAAGAAACGTTCTAACGTTTATTCGAAAATAAATCGGCAAACTTGGCTCGATACTTTCAGCTCGGTCGCCGAGAAACTGAAGCTCGGCATGCCTGTCGACCCCGAGGAGTTTCGCGAGGTCACGATTTATTTCTCCGACATTGTCGGTTTCACGACAATATCCGCGCGCTCGACACCCTTTCAGGTGGTCGATCTTCTCAACGATCTCTACACTTGCTTCGACGACACAATTAACGCATACACGGTCTACAAGGTAAGGACTGCGTGGCCATAAATTTATAATACACATTTTTGCGAATCATCTAATAAAAATAAATAAAAATAAAAAATTACATAATATTCTATATCAATTAACTCAATGTTGAGAAAAATACAAAATGTTTTAAAGAAGAGTGTCGAACACACAGGCATATTTACAGAAATCAAATATTTTTATAAGCACAAGTATTGAAAAAGAAAAATGTTATTCTATTATAAATTTTATGAAAACTTTAACCTGTTTCTTATCCACCAGATCTATTGCGTAATAAATTCAATCTTTTCTTTGAGATGCAAATATTGATTATTCTTTCTACATGTTATTATGCAATATATTTCTTGAAATATAAATAATTTCTTGAATTACTAAAAATATTTTTCGACTAATATTTTATAAATGTGAGTTTATGTGCAATGTTGATATAAAGCAAGCAAATTATATATCTATTTGCGCTATGACGCATCAAAAGGATTGTTTCTTGTCAGAGAATATTCCGGATTCCGATACTACAGAATGGTATTCGATTGACATAGGTGGAAACTATCGGAGACGCCTACATGGTCGTAGGCGGTTGTCCTGTGAGAATACCCGATCACGCAAGCCAAGTGGCGACCATGGCACTTGACCTGTTACATCAGAGTGGAAAATTCAAGTTGAAACATCTTCCGGACACGCCACTTAGGCTACGCATCGGTCTTCACACGGGTTAGCTCTTTTCCCAAATTTTCTAAATAATTTCCACACGCACATACATACAATCGAAACAAAGCCTCTCGCAAAAAATAGGATAATTTAGAAGAAATTATTTTGAATATTCTTATTTTATATATATATTTTTTTTTCTTCTAAAAGAAATAGAGTACAAATATATATATATATATATATCGCGTTTTTAATATCTATATTCAATTGCATGTACATCTACACTTTATTTTCTGAAGAAAGTTAAAATTGTGTGTTAAATCGCGCGATCTATTATTTTATCACGTATTGCGATCGAATCTTTAAAAATACATTGTTTAGTAACTTGTTTACTTTTCTTTTCTGGACGTGTTTAATGCCGTGGTTTCGATGCCGTAACCCAGATTTTTAACAACGTTACGATTTCCACTATCTTGTTTATCTTTGAAGCGTCTTATCGTCAAGAGATCCGAGAGTATTCCCAAGAGAGTTTGCACCACCAATATATATGAAATTACTAGTTACATAACTCCCTATGTATATGTGCTGCAGCCTTGTGTCAATTAATCCCTTAATTACCACAGATATCGTGTTTACGTGCCCAGATTAATTAGAAAATTTCGCAACGAAAGCAAGCAATAAAATAATCAATTAAAGCCTCTCGCTGTTAATTTTCCGTCAAATGCGTGTGTGTATGTATACATATAGAAAGAGAGAGAGAGAGAGAGACGGTAAATCTGAATAAAGAGTACGCCGTAATTGTCGCGAAGACTCGTGCTTCCGCTTTATCGGCAATTTCGCGTGAGAACAAGCTTCTCACGCGTCTCATAATCAGTTGAATTAAGGGATGGAATTCACTTCTCTCCCCCTCGCCTTCCCCTACACAGGCCCGTGCTGTGCCGGCGTGGTAGGTTTAACGATGCCGCGTTACTGCCTCTTCGGCGACACGGTGAACACCGCCTCGAGGATGGAGTCGACCGGGGCGCCGTGGCGTATCCATCTGAGCCAAGCGACGATGGATCGATTGACGCAGGTCGGCGGATACTACATCGAATACCGCGGGCCCACCGACGTCAAGGGCAAAGGCAAGATGCCGACCTACTGGCTGCTCGGCAAGCAGGGCTTTGACAAGGAACTACCGAAACCGCCACCCCTCGGGTAAGCTGCGAGCACATTTTCCGAATTTCTCCCCCCCCCTCCCCTCCCCCTCTTTCCCCACCCTTCTCGCCAACCGCGACATTTCAATCGCGAGGCCGACCTACCTCCGGCAACTCGATCACACGGCCGTGATTTAACACTCTCACGCACGACCTTATATTGAGTTCAATTTATTGCGACGAGGGTGTCCCCTCTTTTATATTCGACGCGCGCGAGTGTAACCCCTCTTCTCTTCCCGCCGCATTTCTTTTTTTCGAGCATTTCGCTCCGGTATTCCTGTTGGAATGCATAACGACGAGGACGGCGCGTAGCTCCCGAGCTACTCTTTAGCCTACGAATTCGTCGTCACGCGTCGCGAGAGAAAAGGGGGTCGGATTTAATCAACAAAGTTGGTATAAAAACGTATCCGTTTGATTAAGTGTCAGAAACGAGACGAGAAACGAGCTCAGGAGTTTTTAATTATGTAACGATGAGAGGTTGCACGGCTTCTAGCTTGTTTGCGTTAAGTTTATCTTAACAATCCCTCTCGACTTTTATCTCACAACCCCTTCCCTTCCACCCCCCACCCTCCCAATGCTTTCCTCTATACGTATAATTGTTCGACATAATCAGGAAAGTGATATAACGGCAAAGTTTTCTCTCGCACGAGCTATTCTCTTATAATACCCGCGGGCAAAAAGTGACCTACTTGATGGCGTGCGTATATAGGCGGGAGGGAAAAAAAGTCTGATAATCTTAAAGTTTGCGTCCCTATATTATGCAGAGTATTTCCGATCTGACGCGCAACCCTTCAGCCGCAGATGGGAGAATCAAATCTAAGAAAAATAGCTGCTTTAAAGTCGATTATGAAGAATTAAACAGTTTAAGCAATTTACAGAGACAGTAAAAGCCGTAACTTCGTTCTGTAATTAATTTCAAATAGACTTTAAGAGAGGAATTCAATTAGAGCTGAATTACCGAGAAAGATATGCATATGTGATATATATATCATATATATTCATAGCAAAACTTGAAATGTAAAATACATGTAATTAGTTGAACGCGTTAATTAATAATCGCGATGATTTGCTAGAATGTACATATATACGTAGTGATACAAAAGTTTTGCAAGAGAGAATAAAAGGCGTCAAGTTTATTTTCGATCTCGACGCAGTATATTTTTATTTGCACTATTTACTTTCCAGATATTTAATCCTTTTATCTGTTGCTATTCTGCCGCTTCACTCAGGGAGAGCCATGGGTGAGTAGACTCGCATGTAAATGACTCGACGTTTGAATCAATCATTTTATCACTTTACATTTGATAAATTTCCCGTAAATGTCAGATCCATTTCGGCAAAAACTTGAATACATCACGTCACATCAATATTCAATAATTTCATCTAACGTCTATTCTCTACGATGTGTCCCGTTTATATAATAAAATTCACATAAAATTTTTTATCTAAACGCGTTAGTGGCTTTAAAAATATGTATGAAAAAAAGTTTATTACAAATTGTTTCATCAATCAGCTGCGTGAATTGAACGCAACGCAAACTAAAGAGAATGCAAATATAGCGCATGAATAAACATTCACTAGAGACCATCAGCATCAGAATGACGTTTACATCAAAATACCAATTACTCTAAAAATTGCTCTTTTCACGTTTTTACTCGAATTTATTTCTCCTACCCTTCCCGAATAAAATTATTTCCCTTCCTTCAATGCAACGTCATCATATCGTTCCTTGGTTACGACTGTAATCACTTTTACAACTTTTCCATTTCTGCGAGTTCCACAAACATCAAACATCACGGCGCTCATGAATAAACACGCATTTGAAACATCTGGATCCGCGGGCATCGAGATGCCGTTCGCATCGAAATGTCATACTTATTTGAAAATTTCTCACATCCGTGTTTGAACGGACGAGTGATAATAAAATAGCGATATACATAAGTAAAATAAAAGTTTGATATATATATCAATTTTTATGCTTAAGTATAGGGGAGGGAGGGGAATAATATAGAACTTGAGATGTCTTCCTTAAGAGGATCTGTATAATAAGAATGGAATTTAAAATTCATACTTAATCTTACATTTTGCGACTATTTCACTTTTTTTTGTTTCTTAAAATACAAAAAAAAATGGCGCTACTTCAGCCAACGACACATATGCATATCTCACGTATATGCTTCTTCGAATTTCCAAAGATTGGATGAAAGTCTGATACTGGGAAGCCGTTCTCAGAGCGGATTGTCGAGCGGAGATTCAATAGGCTCTCAGCTGCCGGTGATACCGTCACAAAACGAGACGCCCGAGGAATCGACCACCAATCCTGCCGAAGTCATCCAGCCAGATCATCAGGACTCTGTCAGCAGCAACGGGATCGCCAATGGGAGCGACAGCCGGACCGCGTCCTTCGAGGAGGCTATCGACGTCAGGAAGGTCGCCGTATCCGTACACAACGAGCGCATAATGCTGCCGAGTTACTCATTGAGGTCCAACGAGTTCATCGAGGTGTTGCAGGGCAAGCAGGACGCGACGAAGACGGCCGAGGCCGTTCACGGCGGGATCGTGAGCAAGAGCACGTCCGCTGATACCCAGGCCTCCCTCGGCGTATCATCCTCCGTTTCCGGCGCGGATCCCGCGGCGACGATCCTCGGCGCGTCCACCAGCTCACTCACGTCGATTGCCGGCTCGGCAACATATCGACAACCGCCCCTGAGGCATCGCCGTTTTGGCTGCATTGATGAGAACGATCTCAGCATGCCATACAATCATTACAGGTGTCTATCACCCAACGAACATCACGGTACGTGTCTAGAAACTTGAACATTGTGTTAATGTCCAATTTATGGAGACCTGGAATTTATCACTCCAGAATTGGATTCCGGGATCAATCGGTTAACGAATATCTCGTCATGGTGTCACTTCGGGATTTATATAAATTAAGAATTAAATTTAAAATTCAATGGTTTCTATATCGATAATCTATAATACAAATTAAAATATTTCTATATGAAAGATCTTTATATTAAAAATTTTTTTAGTAGAGGAAAAAAAAGAAATAAAAATAAAAAATTACTTTGGCAAATATAAGTGTATTTAATTTTAAATTTAATAATATATAT